ATTTTCCCGACAACCGAATAGACAGTAAGTCTAAGAGATAGATGAACTTTGTATAGCAGACAAAAGAAAAAACAAGTTCCAGACTTGGAGGCTGCCTGCCTGGTTAACTTCTGTTACCTCTGATATCTGTCTGAAACTTGAGGAAAATAATACCAATCTCATTATAGTGTTGCCCAGCTCCAAATATCACCCCCCAACACACACATACACATTCTTTCTTTCACATACATACACACCCCCTCACCCTCCCCCCCACACACACATGCACAATAATGCTCATCTGCAAAGATTTGTTCAGTCAATCATATTTCTTTTTCTATCTGTCATTTGGTTTTTAATTATCATTTTTTTCAAGAGAGAGATTTTTGCTATAGGGCGTGTGCGCTTGCCAGAAAGATAGAGAAAGAGAGACATACAGAAAGCAAGAAATCACCCCCCAGGGGGAATGGCCATGCTGCAGTCCCTTTTTCTCCATTCTTCTCTTGGGATCTTGGGCACGCACACACATGCACCCGGCGTGAGTTTTAACCTGTTAGGTCTAGGATTCAAACCAGGGTCAACAACATGTGAGTCGGCGTCGTAAACACTATTCCATCTACTGGTCCCAGTTTTTAATTATCTCACTTCTTATGATGGCATAATTTACAAATCTATGCTGATGATATATCTCCTCTACTTTAATCCTTCTAATAAATTGGCAAAGGCACCATTACCAATCACACATATACAGTAGTTCTTCGGTTTCTATGTGGTTTTGAACAGTTGTCCAACAAACCTGAAATATAATCTAGTCAGATCATAGAATTCAAAGGTAAAATTTAACACACTACTACATCTTGTCACAATCACCTTTATTTATTTTTTAATTTACATTTTATCATGTCTTTACAGTATACATTTCTTTTTCCAACACAAAACCATGCATCTAGTCAGATCATAGAATTCAAAGGTAAAATTTAACACACTACTACATCTTGTCACAATCACCTTTATTTATTTTTTAATTTACATTTTATCATGTCTTTACAGTATACATTTCTTTTTCCAACACAAAACCATGCATGTCAGTCAAGACAAAGATACTACTATACACATTATCAGCAAATAGCTTCTCATGTTTTGTAAATTAAGCATACTTTTACCTGTTTTTTCCTCCCTCTTCTCCCTCCCTCCCTTTCATACTAAACTTTTTTTTTTTCACATTTTATTGATTCACAAAAGATCTTAAAAGTCTGGACAAAGCTAGAATCTAGTGACAAATGAACTGTAATTTTCTTCTGAAACACTTTTTTTCCTCTCTCGCTATTCTTCCTTTAACTAAAGAGAGGTATAAACTAACTTACTTGCATAAAAAATTTGGTTAATCTCAATTTGGTCTGTTATTTGCACAAAACCCCATAAGAATTCAATTTCAGATGCAAGGCAACAGATACTATTGTTATTATTGAACTTATGCAAATAACGATTCTGTCACAAAATAAGAATACTCACAAATATTTTCCAATTGCAAAGAGGCCAGGAAGAAAGAAAAGTTTATGTTTCAATTTAAAAAATTCTCTAACAATTGCTGAGCCTGACAACTCAAAAGAAAACAAAAATCCTTAAACCTGGAAGATAAGGCATAGAAGAAAATCACTACTGTTTTAGAAAAAAAGTCATAGAATTCTATTTCACAAGTTCAGTATTGTGTAATCTCTCTTGTTGAATTTGCAGTGTTGGTGTGGTCTGCCCTTTCCATTAATATTCAACATTATTATTGATATTTCAGAACTTGTCCCTACCATTAAGTTGGTTTTCCTCTTGGTTATTTTTTGTTCTCTTATTTGTCTGTCTTTAGTTTTCCTGGTATAGTGCTCTCTTCAGAATTTCTCGAAAAGCTGGCCTGGTGTTGGTAAATTCTTTCAGGTTTTATTTATCTGAGAATGCTTTTATCTTTTCTTCCCACATGAAGGGTAATCTTGCCACATATAGTATTTTTGGTTGAAATTGCTTTTGACTTAACACTTCGAATATATTTTCCCATTCTTTCCTTGCTTGCATTGTCTCTGATGAGAGATCTGACATTAGCCTTATGGGATATTCATTCAAAGTGATGACATTTTTCTCTTGCTAATTTTAGTATCTTATCTCTATCAGTGGTTTTGGCCAATCCGGCTAATGATGTGCCTTGGAGATCTTCTTGGGTTGATTCTATATGGGGTCTTTTTTATTTCTTGGGTCTGGATATTTGAATGCCTCTCTAGGTTTGGAAAGTTTTCTTCCAGGATTTCATGGAATAGATCATCAATTCCCTGATTAGTTTCTTCACCTTCTGGAATACTGAGTATGCAGATGTTTGGGCATCTAATGGTATCTAGTATTACTCGTATATTATTCTTATTTTTGGGGGGTGATTTTTTCAGTCTTTTTGGTGAATTTTTCTAGGTCAGAGGTTCTATCTTCTACATCTGAGATTGGATTGTTTACATGATCTAATCTAATCCTTTTCAAGGGAGGTTTTGATTTCCTGTGTTACACCCTTCATCTCTAATAGTTCTGTTTGATTCTTTTTAATGGTGTGTATTTCCTCTTTCAGATTGTGGAAAAACCTCCTCACCTCCTGGAATTCATTGTCTCTTTTCTCCTGCATTTGCTGGAGTTTGTTGTCTCTCTTCTCTTGCATCTCTGTTAGTTTTGTCACTATGAATATCCTAAATTCTTTATTTGACATTTCCATGGGTTTTATTGTACTGTCTGTGGATTATGAAGGGTTGTTCTTTCCCTTTGGGGGAGAGATAGTTTCTTGATTGCCCATACTTCTTGTGCCTCTGTGGTGGTGGTTTCTGGTTATCATATTTATATATTCATATAACCAATTACATTTAAGCCTAAACAAAAACCCAGTCTCCAGTAGGTTTTGGTATTCACCACCTTTGTAAAAAAAATGAGCATCACTAATGAATTACCAATATCTTTAGAAAGGGAAAAGAGTGATAGCACTTACTGAACTGAAATTACTACCAAAATTTAAAAAAACCAACAATATTCATTTAACTACAAGCCAGTCTTAACTTTAATCAGGATTGTCCAACAAAAATATCCTGTCAGTCATTCATGATCTGAGTTTTGGTGTAGGAGATCAATTAAAATATGGTACACGTAAAAAAGGCAAGACATTTCTGTTCTGTCATAAATAAGGCAGTGGCCCCACCTGTTACTCATTAGTAGGTTTTAAAGATAAGCTATCAACTCTGCTCTTCCTGACTTCTTTTTAATGCCAACAAAGATCATTTTTGTTCCAGGGATGTACTTCTTGGGATTCTCCAAATACTCTATCAGTGTATTCTCTCCCCAGATAATGCCTTTGTTCTTGCTGGCATCTGTGTAAGAGAATCCAGGGGCCTGACCTGTCTTCTGCTCAAATAGACCATGGAGATCTGGGCCAGTCTTGTGCTTGCCTCCCTTTTCCATGGTGTGGCACTGGGCACACTTCTGAACAAAAATCTTCTTGCCTCTCTCAACATCACTCATTTTTAATTCTTTCTTTTGTCACTTGGGAAAACAGAATTCCTGCTTAGAAGCTGGATGTCCCGCTCTCTTGATCAATCACACTTCTGACCTTCTTCTTCTTTTAATATTTTTTAAAAATAAGTCAATTTTATTTTAAAGTTTTTGCCACAGGTAGTTGCGTTCACCAGAGAGATAGAGAGAGATACTGAGAGGAAAAGTGAGAAAGGCCATCACCCTGCAGGGAGGCTGGCCAAGCTACAATCTCTTCTTCCTTATTCTTCTGAGAGTTTGGACAAACACTCCTGGCATGAGTTTCAAGTTGATGGGTCTGGAATGCGAACTGTGGTCTGCCATGTGAGTCAGTACTTTAACTACCATGCCACCTGCTGACCCCATTTGCCCCTCTTATTTTCCTGGCTCTTACAGTGTTCCTGTAGCTCCCTCTTCTCAGGTTGAGACCCCTCTGTGCTCCAACCTCCCACTTCTTAGTGGGATACTCCACCACTCTGTATTAGAATGGCCCACTTTCCTCTGTGTCTCCTCCCCCACTAAGCCCAGACTGTGACTTCCTGAAAGGCCAGGTCTCTGTCTTACTTATCTCTCCATTCCCTTACAGACCTCTTATAGGATCTACTCTACTGAAAAAAGAGCCTCCATGGATGTTAAATGAACTAAACTGAAACATGAACAAACTACTATAGGAGCCCTTCATTGTGTCTGTGAAAAAGAAAGAAGCAAGGGTCAGGGATGGCACAGCATAGATGACATTAGAGATGGGTCTTGAAAACAGAAGTTACAGAGGATGAACAGCAACAAAAATCTACAAGGGCATTTGACTGGAGTGGCCAGGGAGTGTTTCACTGAGGTGAAGAATTCTCATCTGATATTATTTGTGATCATTATCTTTACACAAATGTGAGCTTTGCCACATGGGCTTTTGTTCCATTCTGGACTATATCCCTAATGACTAGAATAGGGCCTTCTATATAGTAAGCAACTCAGTAAGTATTTGTTCAATCATTTGAACATTTACTGGGGATAAGAACGACGTAATGTGGGACCAGCAGACAGCATAATGATTACATTCCTGGACTCCCACGTAGTCAGTGGACTCCCACCTAGTCCACCACCATTCGAGAACCAGCGAACAGATGGCTTAAACTTCACGCCAGTGCGTGTGCCTGCGTGCCCAAGATCCTGAGAGGAGAAGGGAGGAGAAAGGATTGCAGCATGGCCATTCCTCCTGGGGGCTGATTTCTCACTTTATGTCTCTCACTCTCCAGTGAACACACGCCTCCTATAGCAAAAATCTCTCTCTAAAGAAAAAAAAGGAAGAACTATGTAATGCAATGCAGTAAACCATAATATAATGCAATGTTGCTATGTGATAGCTCTGGGTCACTAAAGTAAGAGTTGGACCAGAGGGGCAGCGGGCCCTTTCCCCATATAGGTCAGTACAGTGGCAGGCTATATA